TCACTGAGAAATAACTACTGGCTCCTCCTGCAGTATCGGAGAATGTACTGAAGTGCATTATGCCTGTTTTCCTACTTGAAACCTTTCACTGACTCGTCACTGCCTACAGGGTAAAGCCCAGACCTCCTGGTGTGGTTTTCAAGAACTCTGCTAACCTTTCCAGCCTGACCTCTTGTTACTCCCCGCTGAGTTGGGTGCTTCGTGCCTCGGGTTCTTTATGCGCCTCCTTTGTTTAACCACTTTCTCCCACCTTGTCTTCTGGAGGAACTTCTAGTCAACCCTGAAGCGGCTCTGAAAAGTCCTCTCTAGGCTATCCCAATTGTGCGTCCTCAGCACCGAGCACCTGCAACAATCAGCTACCCCTTGTGCTCCGCGCTTGACCTGCCGAACTGGCTGAACCCTAACGTAAGCCTGATGTCACTGTCATTTTACACATGAGAAAACAAGCCAAAAAGACTGGTCCTAGGACCTAGGATGTGAACGTTACTCAAAGGAAGCGATGCTCTTCTAGCCTTACTGTAATTACTGCCCACGTGTTCTCCAGGCCATGAGCCCCTGTGGGCAGGGACCTCGCCTGCTTCACTCCTGCACACCCAGCGTTCGGCACAGATCAGGTTTCCATTTGCGTCTGCGGAATAAATGAACACCCAGGCTGGGCAAGAGGGCGGCTGGGATGGTGTGAGCAACGGGCTCACGCGAACGGCTGCCAGCCTGGTCCAGCAGCGGAGGAGGCAAGAGCAAAGTGGGAGACACCTCACTTCTTGTATTATAATTTAGTTTAACAGCCATTTTTTGAGCACATAAGGACCATGTACAGTAAATACCCCAGAAATGAATGAAAACATAACCCCTGTTCTCAGAAATTCTAGGTTAAGTAAAGGTGTTAGACTCATAAGATCCATCTAATATCAGATATTGAACTTACAGCTCTGGGGTGTTTCAAAGAAATAAAAATTTAAAAAAATCTTGGCAGGTAAGTCTTCATGTTCAAAGGCCCTTTGGCATTTCTGCACAGTGAATGTCTACTGGCTTCAAAGAAGAACTGGAGGCAGCAGGGTCCCCCTCAGTGTCATACCCCCCACCCCACCCCGTGCAAGGGAAGTGCCCAGGCTGGGTGGCCGAGATTTTAAGGGGGAGGTCCTTGGTCATCTCTACGCGTGTCTGAAATAAAGACCCTAGCACAGAAGTCATAATGCTTGCTGAGTGGATTAAACGTAATGAGACGGTTGTAATAAAGTCACTGACTGATCATCTGCTCTAGTCCCTTGAGGGAGCAGGTCGAACTCTGAGCAGTGGGAGAACCATGTCTCTAGAGCCCCTTTAAACTAGGCTGGGCACAGCGGCAGGGATGCTACGGGGAGATCAGAGATGGGAAGGGCAGCACGAGCTCAACCCCCACCAACCACCAGTTTATGGTCCGGCATGTCTCCTGGGGGTTTACGGAGCGTGCACCCCTGGGTTACAAGCTGAGCGGTCCAAGAGAAACCTAAAGCCAGCCAGCAAAGCGCAGGTGAGAACACTAACTTCGGATGGCCACCTGGCACAGCTCCGGCTGCACACGACCTCTGACTCCTGCCTCTGTGTGAGCCTCGACGTACTAGGTGCTACGCGGGTTGCTCCACGTTCTCTCGTGAAGCTGCTGATGAAGCTTAGAGAGGGGAAGAGCATGTCCAGAGTCACAAAGCTGGAGGGGGCCTGAGCGTGGAGTTTACTCCAAGTCTGTAACACTGAGCGCTATTTCTTATGCCTACTCAACTGCTTTGTACGTTTTTCTTTTTCTTTGCTAATTGGACAGTAACTGTTTGTCCTCTAGTGAAATAAAGGAGGATTTGGGTTCCTAGTGAACAGGCCAATATAGTTGAGTGGCCCAAAACAACTGGAAGTAGACTATTGAGAACCCAATTAAGCTCAAGGCCCTGCGTTTAAATGTGTACGTGTTATGCAGATGAGCGAAGAGGACTTGATGAAACCAGAGTGAGTGCCCTACAAACCTTAACTCAGAGGAAGCAAAGCTCTTCTAGCCCTACTGCAATTACTACACACATGTTCCCTGGACCCTGAGCCCTTTGTGGGCAGGCACCGTGTCCAATGCAGTTCTGTGTCCCCAGCTAGCCCACGGTCTGGTACAAATCACGTGTCCTTCACATGCTAAAGGGGGCCGACACCACTCAGAGACCACAGATTACTGCCTTGTGGAAATGTGGGTCCAACAACAAACTTTTAGAGTTTTAAGAGATGACATGAACCCAGTTTTGTGGGGAACCTTTCAATTTTTAAAATATTGGTTCAGCCCTGGCTGGTATGTCTCAGTGGACTGAGAACCAAAGGGCCACCGGTTCCATTCCCAGTCAGGCACACACCTGGGTTGTAGGCCAGGTCCCCAGTAGGGGGCGCTTGAGAGGCAGCCACACATTGATGTTTCTCTCCCTCTCTTTCTCCCTCCCTTCCCCTCTCTTCTTTCTCCCTAAAAATAAATAAACAAAATCTTTAAATATATATACATATAGGTTTAAATAAAAACAAAACCAGAAACAAAACGATGTGTGACTTGGGACACTGGAACCTGCCTGTGGACTGGAAATGGTCTGATTCGCCATCTTGGGATTCAGCTCGGCCCAGGACACTGAGTTTCACTTTACTTACCCACTCTGTGTGCATAAGACAGGCTTATAAGCGGCAGTGGGAGCCAGAGATCCCCACCTGGGGCAGAGCAGTGACCCGCCCCTCAGCACAAAGCCCTGCTTCCGGCATCTGGAACCCACCTCCTGCCCAGCTATGAGCGCGTCCTTTGGGGAGCAGAGGGTGCACTGAAACCTACAGTGGGAGTTATCTGGGCAAATGCTTAGTTGCTCTGAGTTTCTGTTTCTTCATCTGAAAAATGGGATGACAGCCTTTGTCTCCTTCAGTTCATTCATTAACATTTGTTAATCACCAGGCATGGGCTATAATGGTGACTGACATGGTTCCTGCACACTCAGGGTTTACGTAGCAAAACCAGCCCAATAATTACACCAATAGTTAACTCATCATATTTGTGCTAAATGCGGAGACGAATACAGGGGTGATGGGAAGATTAGAATTAAAGTATGTAAAGTGCCTGGCATGAATAAATGAATGAAATGGCCAGTCAGGCACTGGAGTAGGTAAGGACATGGTAGGCATGTACCATGTTAATGAAAGTTACAGCTCTTAGGAAAGATGCGCCCTAAATAAAAGCAATTATTACGCTGCCACCCTAACTTTCTGGCCTTTAAAACTCAGGCAAAGTGGCAGAGGACTCTACAGTACTGGATGGTTTAAATGAGAAGGAGAGAAAACAACAGCTCCCTGGCTCTCCCTTCCCCACCCAAGCCCCCTGCCCGCCCCTCCCCCAAGAAGGGAAAGAAAAAGCTAGAGGGGGAAGCAGCTGCAGGGTCAGAAGTGAAACGAGATGAGGCTGGGGTCCGACCTGGGCTGTTGCGTCCTTTGGAGCCAGTCTCAGCCCAAGGTAGGAAATGGGGGTGAAGGTGGGGCTTTTAATACTCAGTGAGTAGTGACGTTCATTAATGAGTAATTAAAAATCTTATTGTGATCTGAGACACAAAGGAGACCAGCATCAAAACTGGGTTACAATAAGCACATGTTCTTCACAGATTCATTCTCTCTCTCTCTCATTCACCTAGTTCTTTCTATTCTGTGTCAGCAAGGCTCGGGCTAGGTGTGGAAGACCAGGCAGATGACACAGTATGTGCCCCTGCGGAGGTCACAGTCCAGTGTGGGAACAGACACATCAACAGAATGTTTCACCACAGAATAGGGAGTGAAACCAGAGGGGAGCACAGGGGGCTGTGGGCATAGAAGGGGCACCTCGCACGACTGGGGAGGTGAGGGAAGGCTTTCTGGGAATAGGACCCCAAATGGCATCCCCACTCACATGCACAATTCCAGAGATTCTACTAGAAGGCTGTCAAGAGCCATGCCTTCTGGCTGCACCAGCCTCCCAGAGTCCCCTGCTGCCCGATGCAGTGTCTGCAGAGCCAAACGCATCTTCCGCCACGCCTCAGCCTCATCCGGAACCGCATCCGACCCTCCAAGACTCCTGCAGGAGCCTGCCTTCCCTGGCAGGCTCAGCCAAAAGACCAACTCAAAACTCTTTTGTCAAAGCAAGCTTAGGGTGAGCCACCCAGCCCCAGGTGCCACAACCCTCCCAGAGCAACTGTGGCTCGTGCCACCCGGGCCTCTCGGTGAACACTGGCAGGGTACCTCCCAACATCTCCTTTGCTCAAAAGAAAGTGACCTTCTTCCAGGCAGCAAGCTGGAAGCTTTGGCGAGTCCTCCTACTGCTCACTCTCAGAATGCACCGAACCCGGGGATGCGAGGGTCAGGGCAGGCAGCTTGCGGGTCAGGGGCACAGAGGAGAGAAGGGGTAGGTAGGCTCCGCCGGGTTTCCACCTCAGCGCAGGGGCCTCGCCACACAGTCTTCTGGACAGCCTGGCTGGCTGCTCCACCAGCTCCGCGGGGCAGGGACAGGAGGGAGGCCCCAGGAGACAGAGCTGGGGGCACAGCTGCTGAGGGGGCAGCGGCTGCAGGCAGCGAGGGGAAGGGGTGGAGCCGCCCCCGGGGGGAGAGGGAAGAGAATGCAGCCTTCCAGGCCCCAGGACCCCGAGCTGGCCCGTGGGTGGGTGGGTGGGGAATCAAGTGGGCCCGGGCAAGGCGAAGGACAGGAGGCTGAGCAGTGGCGTCAGGATCAGAGCCCGGTCCCAGGGTGGCTGTACCACCAGAAGGTTTAGTTTCTGCTCCAGCCGGGAGGCGGCGGGAGGTACAGGCAGCCTGGTCTCAGGAGAACCCGACGGGCCGTGCCTCGGCTTTGGAGAGAGGGATCCAGCCTCCACGCCTGCCTCGGCGGAGAAAGCCCCAGCCCCGGCCCTGGGGGTAAGATGGTCCATCCCCATACCCGTCCCGGACCAGCTCCGGCGAGGTGAAAGCGCCGCGACATCCGAGGGCGCCTCGCTCGCTCCTACCTGCAGGCCAGGCGCCAGCTTGGGCTCGTCCTCCTCCCTGGTGCCGTCGCAGTCGGGCTCCGCTGGCGCCTCGGGGGGCCCTGCACCCGCTCCCGCTTCCAAGCTCGGCGGCGGCGGGGGCTCGGGCGCCTGGGGCTTCTGCGGCCCCGCAGCCCGAGCCCGCTCGCGCCGGCCCGCGCCGCCGCTTGGCCTGCTCCGCCTCCGAGTCATGCTGCCGCTCGCGCCTCTCCCTTGCTCCGCTTGCGCCGCCGCCGCCGCCGCTCCCCTCTCAGGACAACAGCCAATATGGCGGCGCCCGGCTCCCCCTTCGCCGCTGCCAGCAGGTCAGAGGGCACGGGGAGTCCGCGCCGCCGCACTAACCCCCGAAGCTGCGTGCGCCATTTTGAATAAGGTCACCACCAGGAGTTCCGTGGGAGAAAGTGGTTGGAGAGGCGCCCTCGCGGTCCCGCGACCTGCGCGACGAGAGCGTGTCCACTGTGGTAACCGTGCTGCACGGCCCTGGTTGCTAAATCACTTAAATGGATGAATGAATGACTTTCTGTAGTGCTGCGGTGCTTTCACTCTCACCACCTGACTTGTCGCGCTCACATGGAGTGGCATGTATCATTACGGTCGTTCCCATTTTGTGGTGGAGAAAATCGAGGCTACGGAAGGCAAAATGGTTGCTCAGCATCGTCCGGCCTGGTGGGCTCGTGGACAGCCTGAGCTGAAAGGGACGAAGGCTGCGCCCAGGCCTTTATTTGCAATGTATGGTTCACTGGGAGTCCCGTTTTTGGTGCTTGGGACACGGGACTCAGCCCCCTGTCCACTCCAAGTCCCCTGGGGAAAGTGGACGCTTACACAGTTACAGCCAGCGTGGTAAGATTCGGTAACTGGGGCACGCAGATTTTGAGTAGTCCACAAAGGAACATTTAAAAAAAGGTAATAATTTTGTATTTGATTGTTAAAAGTGGAACACATGCACACGGTACAGATTTTTAAAAGGTTGTGGGTGCAGTCTGTCTCGTGCCAGGGCCAGTGCCAGCACCAAACCATACGGTGGTTATATGTAGAGTCGCTGTTGATGTCATCGACAGGCCAGACTCTTGACATTGGCCGAAACCAGCTTGAGCGAGGGCTCCTTTGAGAGGAAGGGCCAATGGAAGGCCCTGGAGCCCCCCTTGGCTGCCAAGAACATATATAAACGTTAGTCCTTCATCTCAGTACAGGGATTAGTGCAGCTGTAGAAGACTTGAAAGATTCAGGGTAATTCCCACTATATATAGTTGGTATTTTTTACATTTATTTATTTTTATTGTAAAATACACAGGAGAAAACTTAGCGTGTTAACCATGTTAAGCGTACAGGTAGGTGATGTTACATACTTGCCACCATGGGCACCGCCCTTCTCCCGAACTCGTCTTGTGAAACGGGCACTCAGCACTCGTTAAATAACAACTCCCCATTCTCCGCTTTCCCAAGCCCATGACAACCACCATTCTGCTTTTTAAAAAATCTCCCCATTTTCCCCACAGTCTAGCCTCTGGTAACCACTATTCTAATCTCTGTTACTGTGAGTTCAGCCTTTTTTTTTTTTTTTTCCCTACATATAAGTGAGATCATGCGCTATTTGTCTTTTTGTGACTGGCTTATTTCACTTCACAGAATGTTCTCTAACTTCATCCACGTTGTTGCAAACCACTGGATTTCCTTCTTTTTAAAGGCTGAATATTATTCCTTTATATGTTTTTATATATTCCCATATATTTATTGATATACTTTATATATATATTCCTTTAGGTGTAAGTGCCTATATATACACCACACTTTCTTTATCCAGTCCTGCATCGGCGGAGAGGAGAGGTGGCCTTGAACAGTGACAGGGCTCTGAGACACTCGCGCTGGCAGGGGCCCCCCAGAGGCCCTTGTGCGCAGCGGTCAACCCTGGAGGCCCTCAGCACAGTTCTGGCCTCTCCCAGACAACGGAGGTGTAGTCCCGGCTTTTCTTTTGTACCAACCCTCAGGAGCGGTGTGGGTTCCCCCAGCAGGGGCAGCCATAAGCCTTCACTGTCCTGCTTCAGGCGTCTGTCACTCTCTGGACAGACTTAGTTTAGAGGAAAATTTTGTATTTTTAAAATTTTTTGCTGTATCGCCATTGCAGGGGAGATCGGGCCAATCTGCTGTGACACTGTCGGTACCGTCCTGAGGGACCTTGAGAACAGGAGACAGCAGATCCCTTGGGTGCCTTGGTCAGCACGGTGTATGCGCCGAAGAGCAGATAATACACCCCACAAATACACAGGGGCTTATTTGTTCAGTGAGCTCTCTGGGGCCTGGGGTTTGTGAGCTACTGCCTACAAAATGAAGGACAAGCGGCTGTACGCACCATGTTCCCTACTACTAAGAAATATAAAACTTGGTGGACTTCTTTAGACTTGGGTACACTGTTTTTACCTGTTGCCAGGTCACTTGAAGGCTGTCAGCTCTTCGGGGGCCCACATACAGAAAGGTGGTTTTCCTACCAGATCAGACCGCAGAGTAAGTAGTTCTGCTTTGTATTCAGGCACTGGATTTTTGAAACAAAGTCACTTTCCTTCAGCAAATTGTTATTCTCTTCTTGAGAAACAGCTCCTGGCTTGCTCCAGGTGTCTGTTGAAACCGGATGCCCGACCGTGGCATGCTGACCGTGGCATCCCAGGCGACCCTGTGACCGGAGCCACCAAGCTATCTGATCTACCAGCTGTACTACCAGGGCTGGCATGAAGCACTCCGTCATCAAAAGGAGATGACATATGTGGCCTGGGTCCAAGCAGGCCCTACAGGAAAAGTTGGTTGCCTGAGCAAGTGGTTTACATTTCTCCTCTGCTACTTATATTCATGGTCTCGTGGAGAGTTGTTTATGATGAGTTGACAGAGGAAGAAAAATCTACAGCCCAGTTTGCAGACAGCTCCAACCAGGAGTGGATTGCCAGGATGGCCCAGCCTTCCTCTGAGGCAGCCAGAGGGACCGAGCAAGGGCCTGCACCCAGCGGCTCTGAAATAAGGACACACCGATTCTTGGGTGTGAGATAATGGTTTAGTCTGTGGGTCAGAGACTTGAAGGGAACAGGCCAACGGCTTAGTGACAGGAAGTTCTGAGGACGATGAACGTGGCTAGCCTGCCCAGAATGGCTTTAGAGCGTAAGGTCATCTGTGTCCCAGAGGAGCATTCAGAAGAGGGGCTTGCACAGAAGAACCCCTTAAAGCCTGTGGGGCGGGGCGCCGCGGCTCCTGTGGCTCTCGGTCCCCTCCCCGCCAGTTTCAGGGCTTGCTCCAGGGTTTCGGAGAAAACAGGCGCAACAATCAGGCTGCTCCCTCCCACGGCTGGCCTCTCTCCTCTCAGGGCTAAGCCTCGTTTGCAAGCCTCAAGGAACCAGCCCAAGCCCCAGGCAAAACCTGACTTTGAGGGGACCAGCCAGCTCTCTTGCAGGAAAAGTACATCGGACTATGTAATAGTCAGGATTGGCTAACTGCCGTAACAAACTATCCCAGCGTGTCAGGTTCAATACCATAATAGTTCCGTTCTTGTTCTGTCACAGTCCAATGCTAGTCGAAGGGGACTTTGCTGCATGCGGTCATCCAGGGGCGCTGTCCCTTCTATCTTGTGGCTCTTCCCTCATCTAGGTTCTCTTCATTCTGCTAGAGGATGGGACAGAAGACTGAGGGTTGCGTGGGATATTTTTATGAGCAATACCCAGATATGACTATACATCGTTTACACTCCCATCCTGTCGGCGAGATTTCAGCCGTGTGGTTCCACCTGCTCTAATCCTTCCCTCCCACTCCTTCCCTTCTCCCCAGGCAACCGCTGATCTGCTGTCTGTCTCTGCGAATATTTGCATTTCCATACAGTATGTACTCTGCTTTGCCTGACTTCTTTCACTTAGTATAAGTACTTTGAGCTTCATGCGTGTCAGGTGTATATCCGTAGCTGTCACTGCTGAGTAGTGTATCATTGTATGGAAGTGCCACAGTTTGTTTTTCCATTGGACATAGATGAGCAGGCATGGCAGTCATTTCTCACACATTAAATTAGCTCAGTATGTTGTTCGGCGAACTGGAAAAATTACTTTCAAGGCAAAAATACAATGTACAATACATTGAAATTGCATCTTTTGCAACTATTTGAATTTATATATGTATTTTACATGTTAACTTAAAAACGTGTGGAGCAGGGCCGGCTTCATGGAGGGGCATGCAACCTGCGCAGCCACACAGGCCTGCGTTCAGAAGGGCCCTGAGCTTGGCATGAAGGTGGCCATTGCCTTCTTGAAATTGTTAATAATGTTTGTACAAGGAGCACTACAAGTATTTTTATGGCCTTTCCTCTATCCCCCTGTGTCCCCCTCCCCACCTCTGGGCACTACAATTTATGTAGCTGCATAAGAGGGTATGTAGTTTTTAAAATTGATTTTATAGGGTGTGCAGTCAAGAATTTGAAGGCCGCTGGCCTTGACCTTCAGGTCTGGGAGGGCTGGGCTTGGAACACAAAACCCGGGGTGGTTTGCCAGTTCTTCTACTCTCCACCCTGTGATTCACGCTCCGGTCCCAGCCCAAGGCCAGAGGATACAACTACAGGCACCCCTTGTTTTAGTGCGCTCCATGGACTTGCGCCTCACAGGTGCTGGGGGTTCTTACAAACTGAAGATAGCACCCACCAGCAGCAAAAAGAGCATGACTTGCTTTATTGCGGGGGTCTGGAACCAAACCCACAGTACTATCTGTCTGCGAGGTATGCTTGTGATTGTTTGAGTGGAGAGGAGGGAAGGAGAAACTATAAGGGCAATGCAAGCTAGATAACCATTTTAGCATCGTTGCCCATTCGCACGGATGGGGCGGGCACCCGTGGGCCGCACACACAGGTGCGCTTCGACAGCGCCCGTGCAGTGCGTGAGCCCCACCCAGCTCCCCACCTGTGTCCGGCCGGCTTCTGGGGAGAATCGCTTCCACAAGCGGAAGGCAGGTCAGGGCCCCATGAGTCCTGAAGTTGGGCGTCAGCCTAACGCAGGGCTTTCTTAGCACTTTTTGAGAGAGGCAACCAGTTTTGCCCCCCTCTCCCTCGATCTTCCACCCTCTAAACTTGAGAATGGCCTTGCATCTTTGGACAGGAGGGCCTCGGGCAGACTCTCCCCACCTCCTGGAGAGAGGGGAGTTTAGAGGACACGAAATGATGCTGGAGAGGAGGAGCGATGGGGTCCATGAGAAAGATCCTGACTCCCAGAGTGAGCATGGAGCCTCCCGTGAGCACAGTGGGGCCTGGGCAGGGGGGGAATGGAA